TACCACAGTGATATACGCGCACCTATGTTTATAGCAGCACAATTTGTAATTGCCAGATCTTGGAAACAACCCAAGTGTCCATCAACTGAGGAATGGATAAAAAAGTTGTGGTATTTCTATACAATGGAGTACTACTCAGCTATAAATAAGGATCACATTGAGGTATTTATCAATAAATGGGCACAGCTTGAAACCATACTCATAAGTGAAATAAATCAAACTCGCATCTGTGAACACCGAATAGTTTCCCTAGTGTAAGAAATGATTCAAATATATCAAAGTACGTGGTAACCATGATTCCCCATTATGTGGCCTTGAAGTCTTATAAAGTTTTCACTCATTAATTGGAATGGCTTTATTTTGGGCTATTTGATATTATGGCCTGTGATGCAATGAACAGCTATTCCGAAGAAAACAAGACATCATAATAGCTAGTGCTGATTTAATACCATCTTGTTTTGAAGCCGCACCAAACTATGGCTCTTCTGTCTCCATTGATTTTATCATGTTGTATCTTGCTGGATTTTATCGTATGTGGTAGTATAAACAAAAATTGTTATAGGCAAAGAGACAATATAGAAACCATTGTTCATTTTTCTGTTAGCTGGTTCTAAATACTCTACAATGCTTTCATCCACTTGAATGGTGTTACCCTGTCTTGATATGTTTGACGCTATAGCATATGAAGTTATATTCAAATATTTCAAGGAAAAAGACACTATGGTAACTACTATTAAGTCGGGTTATTTGGTGGTGAAGCACTAGGTTGCTGAAAGTGTCATGCTTTAGCCTGTATTGTTATGTTGTTATGCCCCCTTTTATCTCAACCTCTCCCTTATTCATTAAAAAATTATTTAATTTTTTAAATTTCTTTTTTTAAACTAAGGGGGAAAAATCAAAAAAACTAGAAGGATGTATTACAGTAACTTTTTTGATTTCCTATTAACTTGAAGTCCTGTAATACCCCCATTATCTTGTTTTGACTGATTAGACTCTATTCTGCTCTGTATGAAAGTATCCAGTATCAGAGTATAGGCAGCTACTTTGAAGGCAATAAGATTCACTATGATGCCCATTCTGGTTTGACTATTATCCTCTTTTGAGATTCTGTAAGATTTACAATGTTTAGGTTTTATTGGTCTTGTTCTCTACTGTTTTGTTCAACTTTATAATACCTAATGAGATAGACAAGTTTTCTTAAGGAAGCAAGAGGCATTATGGTAACCATTGTTGATAACCTTCTACTCAGTTTTTACATCATGTGCTATGTCTATCCTTGATTTTGACTGACAGCTTTGTTTTATCATGCTTGATTTTATTCTCTTACAAAAAAAGTAATAAGATCTAAGGGAGCAATAAAACCCAAAATGTGTAAATTTTGTTGTAATAAAGGGGGAAAAAAAGTGCCCTAAAGGATACAACAGCAAGGGTGTTTAGGTGTGTTACATAGAAGGCCGTATTAATATTTTTGATTGGATTACTGAACACAACTATTTGCAGTCTCACTGTTTGAATGTTCACTTTGTATGCTTTGATCCTGTGACCTGAAACACCGTTTCTAAGATGATAGTATGTAATCTATTAACTGGTGATAGCTTACTGTTTTTTTTTTTTTTTTGTAGTTCTGTATTACTTGTACCCTTATACTGTTTTGTTTTGTTCTGCTTTTTTTCTCTTTTTCCTTTTAAATAAAAAAAAGAAAGAAAGAAAAAAAATAAAGTCAAAACTATTTTCATCTAGATACTGAAAGTGAGGCAGGAAATGCTGCTGAAGTGAAATTTACTAGCAAGAATGGTGTGCATTTGGAGGCTCAGAAATAAGAGGCAGAGGCTGAGAAGAGGGCAGTGAAGCCTATGGAATAGAGTTTAAGGTGAGAAATTGTGTAAAAGGAGATTTAATAGAGACTGTAAGGAGGTCTAGAACAATTAAGTCTATGTAGTATATTTCTAAAACCGTGCTGCACAGGATATGTCTTTAGGAGAATGTCAAGAAGAGTTACAGAATAAGAAGGATTCTGTGATCAAAATGCCTCAATAATAAAATACTAAATTTCATACAGAAAATATTAAAAAAAGAAAGTGCTGTGAGAGGAGAATAAGAAACTACAACATAGCTTTCTTTTTGGCCAAACTTGTTGAATCACTAGTTACATATGTCTTGTACATGGACATCAAGTACTTTGCTTGTCTGGCTTCTGCCTTTGGGAAATGGCACTTGCTTTGGGGGGATGGACAGCTTCTCACGCTGTCCTCTTCACATGGTTCCAGAGGGCACTGCCAGGCACAGAAATCAAGTCCCATAACTGCAAACATGGACATACATCCCAAGCTCAAAGACTCAGATTTTAAAAATTAGGAGTGGGAAATAGAAATTGTGCACTGCTGACGTGAGACGGTAGCCTCAGATCTCTTGGGTGCTGTGGTTTGAAGGTAGTTTGTCTCCTTAAGATTCGTGTGCTAAAGCTTGGTTTTCAGTGGGTGGTGCCAAGGTGATGCAACTTTCAGGAGGTGGAACTGAGAGGCAGGTATTCCTTAACCTTCATGAATGGATTAATGCCACCTCAGGGGAGTGGGTCAGGTCTCCTGGGACTGGATTCATTCTCCTGAGAGGGGGCTGATGTAAAGCAAAGCCGTTCACATTCTTGGCTCCTTCTGCTTCTTCCCATATTTAGACTCATCCAGGGCTTTCCTAACCAGACACCACACTGTTTAAAATTTCTAGCCAGAATAATTTCAAGCAAAATAAACATTGTTTTCTTTTAAATTACCCATCAGCAGGTATTTTGTTATAGCCATAAAATTGTCTAAGACCTTGGGCAAATATGTTTCTAGAAGTACAAACCAACCTTACCAACAATCAGAGAAGAGGAGATGGCAGCTCTGGTGGTGCTTCCGCCCCTGGTTCTAGCTCCCATGAGGCCAGGTTAAATCCTTACCCTTTCCCCAGGTCAGTTATATCATACCACAAACATTATCCTGTTTTGTCCAAACTACTTTGTGCTTTTGTCACTTAAAATCAGGTAGTCACTGACAGAAAAAGATATCTCTGTTAGAAGATATTGGCAACCCGGCACTTACAGGAAGGCAGAGTTCTCCTAATTGGATATAAGCAGCTTCACAGATTACCACCCTCAGACAAAGCTTTATTACTTTATATGTAAAATTTAACAAAGCATAATCACTACATCATTTTGACTGAACACAGACCAAAATAAATAAATAAATAATCACTGTGCCATTCCTCCTTTGGACAAATGATTGGAGTTTCTTTAGAAATTATAATTTTATCCTTTTTTTTCCTGTCTTTTTCCTTTTTTTATTGGTACCGGGGATCGAACTCACGACTGCCTGCTTGCAAGGCAGGTGCTTATGCCGCTGAGCTAAATCCCCAGCCCCCTTATCCTTTTTCTAACCCCTTTACTCTTCAATGTCCCCGCCCAGATCCAAATCATATAAAATAGGTTTCTTTTCCAAGTACCTCCCTACTGATTTGCCCTGTCATGTGTCTCTTCCTTCAGTGCAAACTTAAAGTGCAACTTGTTCAACTGCAGGTATGTTTCCTGCTGTTTTGGCTACAGGAAATGAACACTATTAAAACATTTTAATGTTTTATATATATATTATAGTAATATATATATTATAATATATGTAACTTTCTTTGACGCCATATGTTTCCCAGAACTTCCGGAAGAAATTTTACTTAACAATTTTTTAAAAGACTGGAAATTTGCACAAGTGCCAAAAGAAACCAATTGAGCTGTATATCTTTTATTTCTTAAACATCTTAGAAGGTATGGATATTGGAGTAAAGAGATTTTCCCCTAATGATCCTGGCTCTTATTCCGCCAGCTGTACACTGTGTTAACTTTTGAAGGTTTAGCACTAAGCTGTCCTCTAGCATTTTTTCTGGGCAAAACTTTTTGCTCAAGGTCATACTTCCTACCTGTGGCTGCCGGCGTTACTCATGACTGGCTTGTGTGATGGTATGGAGAGGTCCTGCCTTTTTGCTTAGATTTGCACCAATTCCAAGCCATTCCAGCTGTAGGACTCCCTGCAAGACAGGTTAAGTAAGGCCTTTGCTGGAACTGCAGCTACATCACAGTTCATCATTTTCTCTCTTCCTAAGAGCTTTATGAATATATGACCTGGGTACCATAAACTCACCTGTTTTAAGTATGAAATTCAAGCTTTTTCAGTAAATTTGCATAGTTGCATTATCATAATCAAAATCTAAATATGAAATATTTTTATGACCCTCAAAAGGTCTCTACTGCCCATTTGTTTAGCATTCCTGTCCCTCAGCCCAGACCAACGCCACTCCTCTAGTGTTTCTATTCATTGTAAGAAAGAATTTTTGATTTGAAGTATTTACACTTACTAATTGCTTATTATCGAGCCCCTTTTACAAACATTCTAAAGTATATATACTGTAATAAACACTGTCAAATAAGTGGCTTTGAAGAACACCCTCCTTACTAGTAAATTTTTCACACGTACTTCTTATTGAATCTAAAAGCTATCTTTTTAGACAAAATTAAAACACTAAAATTTAGTTAAAACTCAATGTTGATTAAGTTGGATTTGGTTTTGCAAGGTGAAAAACAGGAAGGTATTGGAGGGAACAGATTACACAGTGGCCCCTTGAGACTATTCTAACAAGTCAAGTCACTTATGGAAATTAAATAGGCAGACAGACAAACATCCTTTTCTGTAATCCCCTTGTCTTTAACCCAAGGGACATGAACTCCCCCTGAGAACAATTAAAATGGACAGCATACAGATGTTCAAGATACTGCTTCCTGTGCAGGTCAAATACAAGTCATTGCATACATCTTTTATTAATTTTACTTATATTCATTTAAGTAAGTCATGTTTTATATTTTAACCTCTTCAGTGTTTAGTTTTAAAATGTTGAGTTTTTAAAAAATTACATTTGAACTCAATTTAAATTGTAATCATTGATCAGTTATAATTACACAAAAAGGAAACTAAAAACAAAAGTATTTCTTGCCTTGCTTTTATTCGATGATTAATTTATAAAAATATTTCTTTCAACATTTTAGTAAAGAGTTAATATAAGATATATAAGACAATATAAGATAACATAAAAGTATGTCAAGAAAAGAAGTAGTCATAGTTTTCATTTATGATGTCAAAATAAAATAGGATTATATCACATTTTTAAAAAATCTTATCTAAAATTCTATAGAACAAGTGTTCACATGTAAGGGTACAGAACAGTGAAAATACATACATTCACACCATTAGCTAACTGTAGACTGTTTCAGAACGAACAATTCTTTGAATTCTAGGGTTATGTGTATTTAGCTCTAAGAATGTAAAGTATTTAAATCAAAGTCTCAAAATGTGACATCTCATACTACTTAAATCTAGCAGATGAATGAACACTTCAAGAAGAGAAATTAATTCAACATTATAATTTCAATCTTTCTTATAACTGAATGCAAAACCTATATTTGATGTTTCAAAAATCTATGCATATCTAACACCTAAATTCTGTTTATTTCAAAACAAACTGAGCTCTTTCATTTTATTACAAAACAAAAATAAAACTTTAACAGTCTTTCTAAGTAGAGACAGACAGCTTTTAATTTAATGGTATGATAACAAATTAATGTGAGTATATTATAACATGTTCTCCATCACTAAGATTTTATTCATCATCTTAATTTTCAAGATCAGGAATCAAACATCTCAGTAGGACCAACACTGTCTCCTGAATGTATGAGCAGGGAAAGAAAATTCTTTATTTCCACAAAGACAATTTACTAAGTAACCTTGAGGAAGCAAGCATTTCTGCAGAATTTTTAAGTAAGAGAACTGTTTCTACACTGTAGTAGCAGAAACTCAAGTACTGGGAAAATACAAATAAGAGTTTGCTACAGTGTTTATCTTATTAAGCAATTAAAATGAACTCTGAAAGTTTTCTGTCCCTTGACACCAAATTTAAAATGTATTTAATATTTAGCAAACTTAATATGGGGATACTAAAATGTGAAGCTTTCAAACTGAAAATGTCTCTGTTATTAAACCTTTTAAGATATTATACTCTTTTACAACACATCTGTTATTAAACTTTTAAAGAGATTTTATTCTTTTACAACTGAAAAAGTCTATATCCATTAAAACAATTATCTTTCACTCTAACTACATTTCTAAAGTCTAAAGATGCTTATCATAAAAATGTGACTTAACTCTGTTTTCTTCAATGGCGAGTCTTTTAAAACATTTTGAGGCTGTGATAGTTCTCAGTGACCAACTGTATATTCATTAGTAAAAGATACCTATATGATTAGATATCTATTTTGATTGGATAACTCATTTGTCAATAAGAGGCCTGAAACAGAAATGAATTTCTATAAGGAGATATAATACCATCACTTATATCTATGAATAATGAGATTACATTACTTTTAGGTAAAACTTAAATTTACCTTGAACTTTTGAAATTGGAAAGCTACTCTTTTATTCATTTAATTTCTAAATAAATTTAATACACAGTATTGCGGGATCCAAGTGCTACTTGCAATTTATGATGAAAGGCATTTGTGCGTTCCTTCTGAACTGGCCAGTTCAATATGCAGTGAGACCTAAACATTCCTCTTCGCAAACAGAGTGCGTGGTTAAGTTTATAGTCTGGAATATTCTCAAGAAAAATCAGTATGATGGAATCCAGATTTTGTTCAATAGCTTGCTGAACTGCATGATGCACCTTGAATCTAAGTTTAAAAAATTTAAAAACGAAATAATTAGTGTACATCTTAAGAGACAAAAGCCCAAAAGTCTAAAATTTGTTTTAGAATTTACTTGAATGTGTCATAATAATCAGCATTTTCTCCTTACTTTTATTTTTAAATTTCTTTGAGGTATATTTGAAAGTTCAGTAGGAAAACAAGTCTGTATTTAAAATTTCACAACCTTCACCTACCTTTTGCACAATGGATCTTTTAATAGATGCTGTGTTATAATAAAAACAATTTTTCTGCTTCTTTTGATACTATTAACAATTGCTTCAAGTTCAAGGGCACCTGCCTCAAAGTCTCTTTCTTCCAGACAAAATTTGAGAGATTGGTCTTTTTCTTCCAGTGGAGAGAAGTTTTCCCACACCCAATCTCTATCCTTGTAGGCATGAATTATGTATGCTGTATATTCAAATTGTTCTGGCTGTCCATCTACTTCCTTGAAACCAAGAACTCGATGGACCAAAACATTCCAAAAGAAAGATATCCTCCAGCCCTCAAAGTGGATGAGCAGGACAATAAAGATAAAAATCAAAAGCACACTGGTACTGATCATGAAAAAGAGTTCAAAGGGGGCACTGTCTTTGCACGGTGCTGTATCAAAAAGCATCACTGGAAACCCATGAGATTGATGTGGAGTGTTGCAGACATAATGACTTGATAGCTCAGAGATGTGAGTATGGGTTTTATTAATCCAATTAACGAACCAAGCAATACTTTCACATGTACAATCAAAAGGATTAAAGCGCATATCTAAATAAGTCAAATTTTGAAAAACTGGCTCAAAAACGTTCTTCTCAACCGATGTTATGAGATTCTTCTGAAGGTTCAATGACTTCAAAGACAGCTGATGGTCAAAGACAGAAGGTGGAAGTATGTTTAAATTATTCAACCCTAAATTGATGCTCTTAAGCTCCAACAAATCCTTGAATACATCTGCTGGGATTTCATCAAAGCCATTAGACTCTAAGTTAAGGATGTGGAGGTGATAAAGACCCTTTAGAAAATGAACAGGACCACCAGGGTTTACATGTTTCCAGAGCCGTGCTAAGTTATTATGCTGTAGATCTAGAATTTCTAGCTTCTCAAGACCTTCTAGCATTTCCTCATCGATGTTGGCTATGTTGTTGTTGCTTAGATCCAGAATGGTCAAGTCACGAAGATTGTGGAAGGGTGAAGGGGAGCTATCTATACTTTTAAGGCCCACCCTTCGGAGCATCAGTCGTTGAAGTCCCGGGACTGAGGCAAAGGAGTTGCTAGTCAGTTGTAGGTATTTGTTGTAGGAAAGATAGATTTCAAAAATATTTCCTAGACCTCTCCATTCCTGGCCTGTGAGTTCTTGCTCAATTTCATTAAGGCCAAGGTCAAGTACTTCTAGGTCACCCAAGCAAGAGAAAGCACCACTCTCTAATTTTGAAATTTTATTTCTAGTTAAGTTGAGCACACGTAGAGGAGAATGAGCAAGTGATAAAAATGTTTCGTTTGTTAAAGTTTGCAAATTTGTGAAAGTGTTAGATAGACCTAAGTATTTCAGATTTATCAATCCAGTGAACATGCCGCTTTTTATGCCTGGAATATTGTTATCGTCCATGTTGAGGTACTCCAAACATTTTAGCCACTGAAAAGATAAGTCATCAATCTTGGGAAGTGAAGCAAGGGAAATACTTTGTTTAGTAAAAGATCGTTTCAGATTCAGGTATCTCACATTGGAAAGCCCATAAAAAGAGCGAGAAGACAAATGTGCTATGTTATTATACTCCAGGAAGAGATATTTCAGATGCGGAAGCCAAACAAAGGAATCATTACCAATCACATTTAAATTGTTGTGGGAAAGGTCGAGCATGGTGAGATTAGTCTGCTTTAGTCCAAAGAAAGTTGTGTTGCTGGTTCTATACAGCTGGGTGTTACTCAGAGATAGATTCTGGATGCTTGTATTTGATAATTCCAAACAAAGCTTCTCTGTGAGACTGGGGCCCAGTTGGGCATTGTTCAAAAGAAGGCCAAATAATTTTCCAATCACATGAAAACACCCTGGAGAAATCTAAAGTGGAGGAATAAGGTTAAAAACTAAAATATGATACGTTTCGTAGGATCCTTGAAAGACATACATACAATTCTTTATTCAATTCCCCTCTTCCTGTTCAACACATCTGTCTCCATTGCTTACTCTGTGCCCGTCACAGCCACCCTGTGCTCCCCGCCCCCGGCCTACCCTGGTGCCTGGCTAACTTTTACTATGCATCTTACTCACATGCCACTGCTTCAGGAGCTCTTCCCTGACTTCCATGGCCAGGTTAACTCTTCCGGGACTTTTACATTGCACACTGAATAACAACTGTAGTTAATAAACTATCTGTGAGGTCACAATGTGCAGACTCTGCTTGTGTCTTGGTGGCCATTTATTGACAGTGACTATCAAAAAGGAATAAATACATAGATAGCTTTTCATTGGGGGTGACACTACTTATGTATTTTATAAAATTATGGAAATAAATTGTAAATATATATATATATATATATATATATATATATATATTTGAAGCAGAATCTTATTACCTTAAGATTGGGCTCAAATTTGTCAACTTCCTGACTCCTGAGGCATTAGTGTTGGGATTATAGCCAGGAGCCAATATATCCAGTTGGATAAGTTTTATTATGAAGCAGGGACTAATATGGTTTAGATATGTTCCCTAAAAGTCACCTGTGTTCAGAGTTGGGGTTTCTGAAAGATGACTGGATCATGGGGGTGCTATATTCATCAGTGGGTTAATCAACTCCCTGAGTTTATAACTGACTGTACTATTAGGCGGTGAAGTGCATCAGGAGGCATATGACCTGGAAAGGTGCAATCCTATCGCTAGCATTTTCTCACTCTCTCGCTCTCACGCTGGCTCTCTCCTTCCTGGCTGCCAGGGTCAAGCAGCTTTCCTTTGTCATCCCCCCCCCCCACACTGTTTCTGAACCCACTGAAACTGAACAAAAGTAAACCTCTCCTCCTTTAGCTTATAGGTATCAAGTGTTTTGAGCTAGTGACGGAAAAGTGACTAATACAGTGACACACACTTACACGTTGGATACCCAGAGTTCCAGCTATCTTTTCTGTCTTTTCACTCAGGTTTTCTCCTGACTCTATTATCCTGTTTCCAATTCCCTTCCACTTGCTCCTATTCTCTCCTCAGAAGCTGTGTCTGACTCGGAACTCAGAGAGGAGTCAAGGAAACAGAAGCTGGAGAGATGGGCGTCCACAGGGGACTCCAGTCACTGGTAGTGAACCCACCAGGAACAGAAAAGGAGCTCTGATTTCTAACATTTCTTATGTGACAGACTTGAGCAAATGGAAAAATAATTGTGAAAGAAAGTGTGCTCCACTATACATAAAATGAACTTGCAAAGTAAGAAATTACTTTGATGCACCTACATGTTAACATTATTTTGCAGCTACTAAAATTAAATTTTTGAAGGGGCTGGGGATTTAGCTCAGCGGCATAAGCGCCTGCCTTGCAAGCAGGCAGTCCTGAGTTCGATCCCTGGTACCGATAAAAACGAAAAAGACCAAAAAAAAAAAAAAATTAAATTAAATTTTTGAGTGATTCTTAACTACATGGGAGATGATCATGATATGATACCAGGAGACACCATTACCCTTAAGAGGTAACACAGCTCAGAAATTAAGAATATGGGCTATGGCCACACAGCCAAAAACCCAGATCTGTCAGCAGGTGGTTGATGTCTCTCAGCAGGAAGGAGAACTTAGGTAAGTCACTTAACCACTTCCATCACAATTTACTGTCGCACAAAATGACAAAAATACATTGACTAAACATGCTCATATGCATAAAAAATAAAAAAATAATATTTGAACCAAAGTTAATTTTCCAAATACTCTATGAATTTCTGCTGCTTTAAACAAAATAATTATTTGAAGATGACCTGACAATAAATACCCAAGCATTAACAGCAGTTGTTTCTGATTGCAAGCTTATGCATGATTTTATTAACTCACATTTTTATTGCCCGTACTACTTATATAATACATACTATTTATGTATTTTATAAAATTATGGAAATAATTTTTGCAAATTATTAATAAATTATGGAAATAATAATTTGCAAAAAAGAAGCTGTTTAAAAATAAAATGAGTACCTTATACAAGATATTTCATTATTTCAGGATAACTTTACAGTTTGTTTTTATGTCTAAAAAATAATATAGCTTATAAAAAGCTATTTGACTTAAAAACTTCAAATATTCTTACATCCTGAAAGGTATAAAATAGTGTGCATGAAAATAGTTCAACTAAAGATCATGGATTCCAGAAGAGATAGTTAATTAAGCAGGTATATCCCCTTAAAGGAAGGTTTTTATAACATAGTGCTAGATGTCACTCACTGAACGCCAGAACTGCACTAAATTCCTTACTATACCATTCTATGAAGTAATGTTATTGTTATACTATTTGAAAGGTAAGAGATAGAGACAGAAATAATTTGAATTTTCCTGGTTATACAGTAAGCTACAGTCTCAAGAGGGACAGTTAAAACCTTAGGCCATTATACTACCTTAAATCTTCAGATGTTTCAGGAAATAAAGGGTATTATTTCCACGATAAGTAAGGAAATTAAAATGAGTAAGTTTCTCAAGGTCAAAGACTGGCACAGGGATTTCAATCTCCTGTTTTACAGCAGGGCTCCATCTTCTAACCACTTACCACCAAAACTCTATTGTGATAATGTCCCCAGGGCCCCAGGCAACATCTGTGAAGGATTTCTAGAAGACTCCACAGAGGGTATACAGTTTCTTCTCAAACAGTCTTTAGATTCTTACCAGTGTGGCACAGTTAGGATCACATATAACTAACAGCAAAATGCAGAATGATTTCACCTTACTTCTTACCTCTTTAATTTGATTTGATGACAACTCTAATTTTTGTAAAGAAGAATTACCAAGGAAATCAAGTTCTTCACTTCTTAGTGCATGAATTTTATTATTTGATAATCGAAGCTCTTGGAGATTTTCCAGTTGGAGCTGAGTTCCCAATTTTGTAGATGATAAACCATTATGTGACAGATCTAGCTTGACTAAATTCTGAGAATAAAAAATAATATGTATGTTAGAATTTTTTCCATCAAAACACTTCTTTAAGCATAAGTAAATCTTAAAAATATATCTTCAGTGAAATGTCATCTGTCCGTTATCCTCTAGAGAACTGACAGCACTGACAGCAGAATAATCTTTCTTGTGATTAAAAACACCATTGTTGCGAGAACTGAGTTTTTTTCTTCAAGAATAATTTTATTTATCTTACCAAAGTAAAACAACTTAAGCTTATAAATTTAGGAGATAAGAAAAAAATTACAATTTACTTATTTGTAATAAGTGTTTATGATGCAAATAATATCTATGTAGTTTCAGGGCTATTAAACATGTAGTGTCATGCATGAGCCTGAGAAGTAATTAACAGGAAAAAAAAAAGGAAAAATGTTTCCTTAAGAAACATGAGCAATATTTAAAATCATTTTATTTTAAAAATAGCACTTTACAATAATTTATCTAATGATATTTGAGGTCTTTGTATCCAAAAGATACAAGTTCTAACAGAAAGCAAGAAAATATCTAAAATAGCTAACCAACAATCTAAAGAAACTACTTAATAACTACCTGACACAGATAATGACATGACATTTCAGATTTATAATTCAAAGTGCTAAAACAGGATACTTTTGGGAATTTCTCAAATAAATAGTAAGAAAATTTTTGTTGAATAATTTATCTTTGGTCAATTTGTTAGGTTTCTTGAAGTTAGAACTTGTACTTGACACTTCACTGTTTCTACGCTAATCAGCAGCACTGCAAGGTTGATTTAAGGCTATAATTTTGAAAATGGCAATGTTTGTGGAAGGGTCTCTGTAATCCCAATGGGGTAAGTCAGCTTTCTTACTCTTGATAGATACTCAGTTGAAAGATGAGTAAGGAACTTCAAGACTTAACATTAAATAACATATTTTACATTTCTTAGATATAAATAAACATTTTCATCTTACCTTTTGGTTCCTAAAAGGATTGTTTTGAATTTTCTGGATTGAGTTGGACATTAGATGGAGTTCAGTCAAATTCACACAAAACATGAAGGTTTTATCAGAGACGTGAGATAGCTCATTGTGCTGGAGGTTCAAAATTTTCAACAAAGGGAGATTTTGGCATAATTCTGGCTCTAGTTTTGAAATTGAGTTAAATCCTCCATCCAAGACAGTAAGTTTGCTGTATCTGGTGAAATTGGCAGGCGGCAATCTTCTCAGCTGGTTGTGGGTCAGATTTAACACTGTTATGTTTGTGGGGAGGTCGTCAGGCACTTGAGTCAGCTTCAGATGACTGCAATCAGCTACTTCCTGTGTCACTGTGCATTTGTTGTTGGAGGATGCACACAAAATACAAAGGAGCAACAGTCCCAACAAGGAGTAGATTTGATAAGGCAAAGGCTGTTTCATGATTCTGCCCAATGAAAGAAATATTAAAAAGTAGTAGATAATTTTACTAACACATGATTTCATAAATATTAGTACGTTTCTCTTGAAATAGACAAGCAAAATGTAGCTACATGTAATATTTTTATTCGTAACTCTTATGCTATAGGAGTGTGTATCATACATCAAATGAAAATATTTTGAATAGCACAAAAAATAAAAAATGAAACATGCAAATTCTCATTCTTCACCTCCACCCCAGCTGCAATGTGCCAAGGTGACCTCTCAGGACAGTTTCTATTTTAATTTCTCATAATCATCTCCGTAAAAAGTAATTCACTTGTCTTTCTATTTCTTTACAAACATTAAGCATTTACTCCTCACTACAAAGATACAATATTTTTTTAAAGATATGACATTTAGTCACACTATTTCTTCATTGTCTTCTCCACATCGGTTACTTTTTATTTTTCTGAATCTATTGTTACATTTACAATTTTAAAGACTACTTCCTAAACTCCATTTATAAATCAGCCAAATTTAAACCACATATTTTAAAAATTATTTTTATTAACATGAAATAATTGTACACATTTAATTAGTACAGGGTGATTATTTCAATACATATACAAATGTGCAATGATCAGATCATAGTAACTGGCACATCCGTCACCTCAGACACTTACCATTTATGTTGAGAACATTCAAAATCGTTTTTAGTAGCTATTTTTAAACATGCAATCAACTATTGGTAACCATCGTCATTTTACTGTGACGTAGCATACCCAAAGTTATTCAACATTTCGCCTGAAATCCAGTGTTTGTCAATCATCCTCTCTCCATTTCCTCTCCACACCCTTCCCAACCTCTGGCAACCACTGCTGTATGAGTCTAGGAGGTTAAGTGCCTTAGTTCCTGCATGCAATTGAGAACATGAGGGATTTGCCTTTTCATGTTTGACATTTCATTTGTGCCTCTAGGCACATCAAGGTTTTTTTTTTTGTTTTATCGGTACCGGGGATCAAACTCATGACCGCCTGCTTACAAGGCAGATGCTTATGCCGCTGAGCTAAATCCCCAGCCCCCACATCAAGGTTTTTATTAAGTGTTTTCTTTCCACCTAAGAATAAATTAATTATACTCATCCCTAACTCTCTTCACAATTTCTCTTATTTTTAGTTTTATTTAATGTATTACTGTGTTTTTTATGACTACACACTTACAGCACATAATGAACAGATTGTCAGTACACATACCTGTGTGTGCATGATGTATCTTAATTTTTTTATGTTCCATCCTCTCCTTTCCTCTCAGCATCTCTTAGTCACCGTATGATTGCTGGATTTATAATTTCCACGACTATATCTAAAATTATGTTTCTTGGTCAATACAAAATCTTATACAAAATCTCTTTATGCCTTGCTTTGTGATGCAGGAAATGGAAATTATTGGGGTTTCTCTACCCTCCTTCCTTCCTTACATTTCTTAAAACTGTTAGCTCTGTCACTCAACACTGTCAACATGTGAAATGCTAGTACTTTATCCCCAGACTCTAGTTAAGCATGAGGTGCTTAGCCCAGATGAAACTATAAAACCTGCAGGTCATGCGCATCATTAAGTTTTACCTTTACAGCAAATCTACGCAGAACTAAAGGATGTGGGGGCTGGGGATTTAGCTCGGCGGCATAAGCGCCTGCCTTGCAAGCAGGCAGTCGTGAGTTCGATCCCCGGTACAGATAAAAAAAGAAAAAGACAATAAATAAATAAAGGATGACTCATGTGCCTGGTGGGATCAAGGGGGATTCAGAATGGTGTGCAATTTCAAATTTAATATTTATTTCTGGGAATTTCTGTTTAATATCTTCAGCTTGCTGTCAACCACAGGTAACCAAATTCAAGGAAAACAAAGCTGCAGGTAAGGAGGAGTATAGAATTTTTCATCTTTTCTTTTTCTTTCTTTCTGCCTTCTTGTCTGTGTTTCTTTCCTCTCTCTCTCTCTCTCTCTCTCTCTCTCTCTCTCTCTCTCTCTCTCTTCTCTGTGTGTCTGTCTCTCTCTGTGTCTCTTTCTGTCCCTGTCTCTTCCTCTCTCCTTTCTCAGAACTGAAGACTAAACCCGCAGTCTTCACATTAAGTTGCTAAACTGCCTCTGCTGAGCTGGAACTTGTGGTCCTAGAGTCTCAGTCTCCCATCATGCACTCACCTACATTTTTTGTTATGACAGAATTGGTACAAATACTTTACAAATACATCACGTCATATACATATTTTATCCATGTTTATATTACTAGATATTTGGATTGCTTGAAGTTTTTCATCATTATAAAGTTTTCATGAACATTCTTGTACATGTTTCTATAGACATATCTATTCTGTCTATTTTTAATAAATACTTAGCATTGAAATGGTTGAGCCATTTTGTATTTTGTGGTTTCATAAGAGATTGACAGATCATTTTGCAAAATATTTTAGGATTTTTACATTCCTACTAACATCTTGACAAAATTTGATATATTATGATCCTTTTATTTTTAAACCTTCTGATAGTATATAGTAAAGCTAATTATGCTTTTACTTTGCATTTCTCCAAGGATAATTAATAATTTTATATGCTTATTATTTATATCTCTTCCCTTGTATATTCAATTTTTTCTCATTTATTAGATTTTTTCTTTTTATTTATTGAGCTATAAGAATTTTTATATATCTGAGTATCAGTCACTGACAGATTCATATTTTGTAAGACAGATTCATATTTTTTTCTCCCAGTAGACATGCTATTTAATTTCTTAATGATATCTTCTTAATTATGATAAAGTTTAATTTACTGTTTTAATATTATTTTTTTCTGTGTCTAGTCTAAGAAATTGTATACCCTCAAGTCATTTAGAGACTCTCTTTTTATGTGAAGATTTATGACCTCTTTTAAATTTTGTGCATAGCTTGAAGTAAAAGTCAGGTTCAATTTTTTTCATGTTTATCTCTAGTCAGACTAGTTTTTAAAAATATGATTTTCCATTCCCCTGCTGGATTGTTTTTGTACCTTTCTTTAAAACACTAACAAACATTTAAGTGTGGGTCTAGCTCTGTATTGTATCCTCTCTTCTACAGAATATTTGTTGATTCTTGTGATAACATCACGCTGTTTTGATGATTATAGCTTTACAGTAGTCTTTATTACAAACACTTTACTATAAACACTTTGTTATCATCTATTATGTCTAAAGTGTTAATCCTCTTGTTTTATTTTTCATTTATTAGGTCGCTTTTCCATGCTGATTGCTGAGTGATTTGATATTTATTATATCAATAAATAAATAAAATTTATTATCTATTAATAATTATTAATTATCCCTCTTTCCTAGATGTAAAGCTAAAGTACTAAAGGTATTAGTTTGTTAAATTCCACTCGGCATGATTATTGCCAAAAAAATACTGGAATATTGTTGATGATGAATAAACAAAAATATATTAAATGAATATCCTACCATGATCATTTAATTAGCTTAAGAAATACAGTCACACTATATTTTGATGGAATATATGCCTGGGGCAGTATTTTCTGGTATGATCATTACTATAGTTTCTCTTTCAGATATTTTATTTATTTTCAAGTTTTTTATTGTCATAAGTACATGTTTGAAGTACTTAATGTTAATTCATCATGGGAGAGTTATTTGCGTAACACATTTCGATTCTTTTTACATCCTGTCTTCCTTCCCCCTCCTCCTTCCATCTCTTGATTCCCTTTTTTGCAAATATCCATCTTCCTGTTTTCCATCATCTGTCTTTTACTTTGGATGTTTTAAAATGTCAAATGCATCCTCAACATGTGAAAATAAATCAATACTAATGATATTAAATTGATGTCCCATAACATCTAAAATTCACAACACAAGAATAATTGCAGATAAATTTTAGAGGATAAAAATCATCGTTAGTGGTTAAATTCAGAAAAACAAACTAATTTGAGTACCTAAAATGATACTGATATGCTTTTAAGAAGGGAGGGTTGACTAGCATTCCTGTTTGGTTCTCAGAAAAAGTAAACTGCTTTGAAAAAGTAATATTCTAACTGTATGACCTTTAAAAACTGGACTAAATATTTTTAAAGTTACACACAATTTTATGCTATGAACAATATCACATCCCTGATTTGCAAAGATGTGCATTACCAAAACATTCAGCTGTACATGGTGGAAACGATGTATTCTGAAAATCAGGAACCAGCGCTCCTACCTCATACCTTTCGAACTGTCTCAAAGCCCTCACAGTACCATGGGCACCTCCTATTTCTACTTTGCAATTCACAGGTCTGATCCCTGATACATGCTCTTCTCATTAAGGGACTACTATCACACTGGAAGAGCTGTAGATAGAGATTAGAATTTCTGAGAAGGATTAATCCCCTTAGCTAGTATACCACTGAATGACTGAAAGGCATTCCCACTTCTGAAGACACATTTTTGATGGCAAACACCCAGCAACCCGCAACTAAACCAGATGTGTAAAAAAGAAAAACATATTGAAAGAATTTTATAAAATTTTCAAAATGATGATCACTATTCAAAAACAAAAAAAAAACTTCTAAACTTTAAACGGAAAGTATACAATTAATTACTTCCAAAGGAAAGATGGAAGTTGATGTAAAACTTTGCATCAAATAAGCTTCTAAACTGTTTAGGGAAGATTGTTTTGAACCTATAATTTCATACCCAGCAGAACAATTAAAGAAATGGGAAGAGTTTTGATACATTCACAAATTCAGTGAGTTTAAAACCATACAAAGAAGTTACTCTAGGACAGACATCAATATAAAATACAATGAAAAATGAAGTGAAAATGAAAAGCAAGTGGCTGTTGTTCTTCAGATCTAAATGAAACAAAGAAAGCAAAAAAAAATAAAGGTTGAAAATAAAAAGGAGAAAGAAGGAAAAAAGGAAGGGTGGGGGAGAGGATTGCAATTTTGGAATGTTTTTTGAGGGGACATTCCATTCCATTTTTTTTGTCCAAATAAGAGACAGTATTACACTAAGCTTAAGACATGGAATTTGGAGCCAGGCCACTGGGAGTTAACCATTACTTACAGTTTGGATTGCAGGCTGTAGAACATTGATAATTTATGTATTTACATATATTTTTGTAAGTTAATACACAGGTATCTAGAGGCACACATACCAACATATAATTATATTTTAATATTAAGAATCAATTTGTTGAAATTTCAATAGTATGAAAGCTACTTTTTACCCGAGTGTCCCATAATTGCTGATGTTAATTTCTGATTGTCTCAGATATATGAATACCTTTCTTCTTTTCACCTTCCTCCCCTTTTCTTTATTAGGTAAAAAAATGCATTTACTTACCTGCAGGGACACCTAAATCGTCCTCTTCTTTTTTAGCACATTATCACTTAATGCCAGTCTTATCTCCTCCCCAGCCAACAAAACTGAGAAAAGAGGGTGATTTTTTTTAACCTCTGGAGATTTTTTTTAAAAACACAAACGTGGGCTGTCACCAAATAATTTCCACTGTTTCTCCAATGTGAATTTTCAAGTACAGAACTCTACAGAGGAAACAACCTTAAAATTACCGCATAAATATTTTATCTGTCACTTAGATATTGCTGCTGTAACTTGTATTCTGAGTTGAGATGCATTTTTCTCCATGCCTTCATCATCTCCCTTTCCATGCACAATGTCAGGCCCAAAATAAAAGACCCTTGACTGCTAAAGACAAACTATATTCTTACTTCCTGCAGCAGAGAGATCCAGTCCCCCACAAAGATTTAAAATACATACCTTTGATTATTCTGATGACTGCTGTCCTTGTCTTTTATTCATTAGTCCAATCCAGACATTTTCGTCAGGGAAGTGCATGTTGCAAGGTTATAGCAATTTCGAAAGTGAAACTAAAGTTAATTTAAAAAAAAAAAATAGAAGAACTCCAGTGTTCCGAGTATAGCAGAGGTGGAGAAGAAGAGAAAAACAAAATACAGAATAATCTCAGTGAGATGCTTTATTTGCTTTGTTACAATGTCTCTTTTAAGATTGTTTTAGGTCCAATAGCCTGTACTTTACTGAAATGGTCACAGATTTAATCAGGAAAAGTTGAAAGGATATGAACTCATTGCTTGGTATGAGCCAGGCTGCATTCTGGAAGTTAATGAGTACTGTGCTTCCTAGAGAGAGAATGCTCCCTTTGCAAACCGTCAGATTTGAGTAGTATTTGTTCAGAGGAACAGAGAAAATCTTTAATCCCTACCTGAAGCTAAAATGCTTTTCTATCATTTACCGTGTTTTATCTTCCAACCTTGTGAAATAAGCAGAATTTTAACCTGTTGATCAGAACCTAAAACAAGTTTGACAAGAGTCAAAGAGCAGTAAAAAGCAGAGAAAGCTGAGCCAGTCTTGACTCCTGCCTGTCCACTCTTCCACATCTGCACTTGCTAAGGAGCAAACAGGTACACTAGAGAAAACTGAGGTTAACTACGACCTTCTGATTAGCTCTGATGGCTGAAGTTCATTAAAGGAACATATTTGCCAGGAAGAAACTTTCAGCATTTCATTACTGATGTTCTATGATAAAACAAATCACTGTACAGTAAAATACAGCAGTTTGGAGGAAGTGGTGAGACACCTAACCCAGCTTCCTTGTTTGAGAAATGAGGAAAAAGAAACCTAGCGAGGTATGTGATTTGTCCAAGGATATGTCAGATTATCACGATGATTCTTGCACAAACCTGTACTAAAACAGCCAAAGAAATTTGAAAACATGTCACTACATTGAATTGAAGGCAGAATAGACAGCAAGAAATATTTCTATCATGGTATAAATTGCCCTCTACTGGCCCTGATCTTAAGTAAAACACTGTGTGGTTATTGTGCTCATGGTTGAATACTTTTGATTTTCAATTGTAGTGTCTGTAATACAGTAAAATAAGCAATCAACCTGAGTAAATAATTGTGTACCCACTGGGATGTGCAATAAAACCAGTAATGATTCCTATAATTCAGAACATTTCACCTTTGTGAGCTCTTTGAAGGTGGTACAGGTTATTACTAGTATTGTAATTTTCCAGCCACCTTTCTCTGGTAGACTATTGCCACATTCCTTTTTAATAGTCATCCATTATGTGGTCTTCTATAGTAGCCATGTGACCCATCTCGCCCAGTGTGATAGTACAAAGCATGAACCAAAGCTTGATTACCAACAATGATCACCAAGGGCTCATATTTAGTACTTGTACACTGCGACATTTTCCCTTAGACCCCCAGCTCCTAGCATGCTTCTTTTTGTAACCCCGAACTAGGTGTTGAGACTCCTAGCTTAGCAGTACAAAAGATACATGGAGGAAACTGAGACTCTGGATAGCAGCCCAAACTATGTGCCAAGAAGACAGCATTGACTTGACATAAGTGTAAACCATGTTGGGAGCATACATCCCACTCTCAGTCATATTATTCCAGCTAAGATTGCAAGGAACAGAGATAAACTATCCTCAGCAAGTCTTGTAAATTCCAGAATAGTATGCAATAAATGATTGTTAATTTAAGTTAAAAATTGGAGAAGTGTATTATGCATTATTAGATGAGGGAAACATACTTCCTTAATAATGTTAGGTATCTGTGTCTTATGCCTTATTATTCCTTATGCTATAAGTTAATTTTGCATAGTAATGATTAATGAATAGCTTTCAGTAAATAATTTTTACTGATGATCTCATAATGCAATAATTGTTATATAAGCTTAATACCAGTTTCCATCCAGATATTACTAATTCTGTATTTTTCTTTGCTCCTAAATACTATCCAGATTATTTTTCTCCACTGACCTTTCTTAATTATGTAAATTATCTAGCCATTAAGGAGATGGGGGTTACAAAGAAAATGCTTACTTTTCCCTTTTTAAGATGAGTAAAAAGCATGAGATGAACTTATATGTGCAAAATACAGGGTTTCCTAGAAGTTTGTATAGCATTATAGATCAGCCAGTCTCAAAATAAATGTGAAGCTCACTATTTCCAACAGACCTTAGAATTCCCAACAGAATTATAGAAACCACATTTTCTTGAATTTATTAAATCGTTAAAAATGTCTAGGAAATTTTTCCCTTCAAAGAGAGCTCATTTTTCTGAGAACTTAATAAAATAATGTACATAACTCTGGAAAAATGAATAGAGAAAATATAAAATTATATAAATGATTAAGCAGATAATAACCTCTAATTTACTTTTTACCTATTTATTAAACTACAGATGCAGGATTCTTACCTGCTGGTTCCTGATAGTAATTCTTAAAAAGCTAGTTATTGCTTTTAAAGAACATTTACAATCATTTAATTATAGGTAAATAATTTCTATGATCACGTATAAAGTATAACTGATAGAAGGTCAATTTGATTCATATAAGATTTACAAGGAAAAGTGTGATGATCATTTTCATTATTATCAGTATTTGACTATTAGTGTTAGTGTCAGTCTAACACCACACTGCTGAAAACTTTTACTTTTTATTGTTTTCTTGCTTGTTTGAGACAAGGTCTTGCCTTGTGATGCAGGTTGGCCTCAAACTCACTATGTAGCCAAGGCTGGCCTCAAACTCCTGGTAATCCTCCTGCCTCAGCCCCTGCAGTGCTGGGATTACAGGCATGCACCACCACATCCCACTACTACTGAAAGCTTTATGGAGCAATCCTTGCAATCTTTCATATGGATTATTTTAGGCATGAAGATTACACAGCTGCAGATTTTGACCACTGTTGAAATGACGGGACAAATAGTACTTTCTTCTCAATGCATGTATGCGAAAAGTGAGGTTAATGTTTAACAATAATTATACATTGCCAAACTTTATGAGGACAACATGAAAAAAGGACTGATTTTTGAGGAATAGTCAAACTTATGCCAGTAATGAATATCAAATTCAATAGCCTGTGACCTTTTGATTGTTTCAGAATTAACATGCATAGGTGCAATGTAAATGGCTTTTAAAGAAACTTTATTAATGAAAATAAAGAGACTGGATAAACTGGCCTTCTCTAGGTTAATGGAAAGTTGTACCTTTTCATCATTAAAACTTCTTATGAACATTTAATGTGACTGCTACATTATGAACCACAATAACAAATAGCTTTCTGTGCATTTGACAGTCTTATGAACTGTGCTGAGAGCTCTTCCATTCAGAAAGGCCATTGTCCCGCTCTGTATCATAAGAAGGCTGATGGCACTTCTTTTCTTTTGGAACACTGTCTCCTAAAGTAAGGGCACATTTCTTTTCGCTAGTGTCAACCACTGCTTTTGACTGAATGGCAGCTGATTTAACTTAGATGAACTAAAGAACCCAAATAGAACTTCAATATGGGAAGAAATACACTGTGTTCCCTTTCGCTATTCTCGCTCATGTCTTCTGAACAGAATTCAACTTACACTTCCTCTCTGAAAAAGAAACCACGAAGATTGTGGTTTAACCTAAAGTTTGCGGGTTTTTTTTTTTTTTTTTTTTTTGTAATTTTACATATTATTTGAAAACTGGTGACATTTTTTATGAGATATGCACAGCTTTATTTCTTTCTTTAGAAAACCACTTTAATGAGGTATCATTGACATATAAAATCCATACATATTATACTTGCCTTGCAGGAGAGTTACTATGATTATGAAAGTCGTTTTCCTAGGTTGAGGCTCATCCAATGCACTTCAGATGTGCTGACCCCTGTGATTTCCCCAAATGCAGGAAACTTGACTGCATAATTTGTGGTGTGGGGGGGACTGCATTGCCACTCTCCCCTAAGAAAATAAATAAATATGTACACTGTTATAAATTTGGAAATAAGATATACTTATGAAGCTGTCACCATAATTTTTACTTTAAGTCTATTGTCTATAAAATGCTCTACTCTCATTTATTAGTTTCAGTGATAAAACTTATCCTCTTAGCAAATTTAAATGTTCAATACATTATTGTTAACTATAGGCAGGTGATGGTTAAGTTTAATTGTTAATTGATTAGCTTAGTATCTGCCTAAAGGATTAGTAAAGCACACTTCTGGGCATGTCTGGTGTATTACGGAGGCATGATGTTGGTGCTACGTATGACACCTGGCCCCTCCTGCCAGCTACTTCCTCTCCACTGCTCTGCTTCTTGGCCACCAGGAAGTATGCAGCTTTGCTGTGCCTTGATATTCTGCCTTGGCCAGCAGACTATGGAATAAACTTCTGAACTCCTAAGACAAGTATACTTTTCCTCCTTTAGGTTGTGGGTGTTGAAAACTGTTTCAACAATAGTAAAGGTGGCTGATACATAAAATTGGAACCAGAGTATAGGATAGTTGCTGTGATTATACCTGACTATGTGGTTCACAAGTCTTTGAAATTCATTTGTGGGAAGGGTTAAAATTTGGAGATGTACACTAGAAAGGGCCTAAGATGCCATAAATAGAATTGAGTAGGCAATTGTGGTTAGAGTTCAGAAGACAAGAACGCTAATAAAAATGCAAACAATGCAAAGACAGGCATATAAAATATCAGATGGGGACTCTCTTGGAGAAAAGATGAGAGTCGTGCATTTTGCCTTCTAACAAAGAATGTGTCTACATTTTGCCCATGTTCTAAGGCTTCACAGAGGCTAAATTTAGAAATGGAGACTAGTTGATCTAGTGGAACAAATCTCAGGACAGCCCAATATTCAGACGATGGCATGGGTTCAACTGGCCTTCAACAAGATTTACAGTGAGAATTAGAATCAAAAAGCAGAGCAGAACAATTAGAAATTTTAAATTTTAGCCTGAAGGAGCCACATGTAAAGTTGGGGCCAAAGGAAGTATGATTACTCTTTAGATTAGCATTATAAAAATAAGCTGAATACTTAACAGAGACACAAGAGGAAAAGATGTCAGGAGGATGTCTCAGGAATCGGCAAGACTCCATCCATCACAGACTAAAACATGAAAAAGTATAAACTTTCAATTTTGGAAGAGAGTTCCCTGCTGAAGAAGGATCTCCTAGGGCATTGATTCCCTGGGATTTGTCTCATCATGCTTTGACATCCAAGTACTCAAAGACCACTACTACCATGATCTGAGGGGGCTTGGCTTCTTTTCCAGCTAGTGGCAGACCTTGCCATTGGTTATGTAATACTATTTGATCAGGCATTCAGAATACAAGAGTTGAGGAGTCATGGAGGCTTCTACCCAGGTTTGAGAGAAAAATTTGGGAGGCCAGAAAAAGGAGCTCCTCATATGAAGCTATAGGAACAAGCCTAAGTTGAAGTGGAAATTCCAGCAAGTCAAAGATTCCAGGAATATGGATCATCGGCTGAGAAAATCCACAAGCAACAAGTACAGCCAGCCCAACAGGAGTGGAACCACCCAGTCCCTCAGGAGCTCACAACTTCTTACACTGTGTCTTGGATACCAAACATGGAGCTGTAGGCCATAATGTTGCTGTGCTAGCCTTTGGTCTTACATTGTCCATTTCTTTTCTACTCTTCACTCCTCCTATTTGGATGGATACAGTTACCCAGAATCATTGTATCAGGGGATCAAGTTACTTGCTTTGTAAATTTTATAGGAATTTATAGATAAGAGTTCAGATTGAGTATTAGAGACTTTGAGTCAGACTTTTGAGCAATGCTGGAACTGTTGAAACTTTGAGAAAGGGGTTAGTACTTTTTTGGTTGTATACAAGATGGCTACTAAACACTAGGTGGAATGATGAACTTGTTACTACCTTTATTTAGAGACAAAGTATGGTTTAAAAAGATGTGTTTATATGTCAAGTTTACAAGGATTGAATGTAACAGTTAAGCTTAATTATCAACTTTTACTGGCGTGGGAGATTAGCACAGCACATATTTTATGTGTTTGGATGGGTTACGGAGGCAAGACCTCGAGGTCTATATATGGTCCCATCCTCTCCAGCATTGTCCCTCTGCTCTACTTCCTAGAAACCATGAAATACACAGCCCTCCTCCACCATTCTTTACTACCATGTTGTTCTGCTTTAGAGCTGGAACACCATGGACTAAGCTGCTGAAACACTGAGCCCAAAAAACCTTTCCTCTTTTAAATGGTGGGTTCCAGCACCTTGTCAAATACAAGTAGTGTACTACGTAATAGTGACCCGAAATTTTTACCTTTTGATTAATGTTATGCCCCCTTTAAGCTCCTGGTAACCACCTTCCATTCTCGGATTCCTTAAGTTTAACTGCTCTAGATTCATAGTGCAAATAATATCATGTAGAATTCATCATTCTGCATCTGATTTACTTTATTTAACATAATGTCCCTGATGTTACAAGTGGCAGAATATCCTTCTTTTATAAGGCTGAATAATATTCATATATTTTCCTTCATTCATTGATTAACAGATTATTTCCATGTTTTGGCTCTAAAAATCTGAATGTTTGGCTCTACAGTATCTGAAAAAATAAAACGTTTAAGAATAAATTTATTTTAAATTTTTAAATTTTTATTAGTACATGTTTATAGTACAAAATTATTATCATCTTTGTAAGGGATTGGTACATGTTCACAGCACATCTCAATGCGATTTTCTCTCTTTCCACTACCCGCTTTTATTTTGCTGGCTTCAGATTCATTTATTTAGAAGTCAATATTAAATTCATTACCATATATAGAGATTAACAACCAAATAGACATTAACAACCAAAAACATATAAAATACATGACAATTGTACTAAATCAAGGTAGTGAAAACTTGGACACTGAAAACTATCACACACAGATAAAATAAATTAACAAACAAATAAGTGGAAATATAGTCTATGTTCATGGACTGGAAAGATTATTATTCGACTATTCATACTACTCAAGGTAATCCACATATTCAGGGCAAGTCATCAAAATCTCAAGAACATTTTTTTGTTAAAAAAAAAAAGCATAAATAGAAAAAGTCATGGAATACACATAAAATCACAAAAGACACCAAATAGCCAAAGGAACTTTGAGCAAGAAGAACAAAGCTGACAGCATCACACTCCTTGACTTCAAGATATATTACAAAGCTAAAATAATTAAGAGAATCCTCGCATAAAAATGGAAAACTAATAAATAAACCCATACACACATTATCAATGTTTTTTGGCAAAGGAACAAAGAACATACAACTTTAAAGAAACAGTGTTTGGAGAACTAATTATCCAAATATAAAGGAAGAAATTACAGTCTTGAATTATACTATATTGAAAATTAATTTAATAGGTTAAATACTTAATCATAGGTCCTAAAACCATAAAATTATTATAAAAAAGCAAAGAAAGTTTCTTAACATTTGCCTTAGCAATATATTATTGTATATGGCACTAAAACCTCTGGCAACAAAAAAAAAACTTAAAAGTTGGTTGTATCTTGCTGTCTCTTATACACTGGAGAAGTAGGTTAATATCAATAGAAGCTCATTCTCCTTATTGACGGTTACCTGTTATAGTTAAGAGTTTTTCAGATTCTTTGCCTTGAATTTAATATTTATTTACTAAACTAAAATTCTAGCCACGTTTTTTCTTTTGTCCATTTTAAACATCTTAATTAGAGTAAACTGATATTCAATAGGCATCTAATGAATGAAAGCATAAATGTCCAACAAAACCATTAATAAAATATGTTTAGCAAAAAGAAATTCAAAATATTAAAAGTAACATAACTTATATTCAAAAGGAATAATCATTGGTAAGAGTTAATGATTACAGAAATTTATCTTAGTCATGGAAATATTCAGTCATCAAGGAAATGAAAAGAAAACTCTTTTGGAAGAGATGCATAGTTATTTTTGGACATGTCTCTTGCTTTTTACATGAGAGGAACTTTTACCTCTACTAAAGTAGGGTCTTTTAATGAGAATGTGAGTAAACTTAAAAAGAAGGATGAAAAGTAAACTTAAAAAGAAGGAAAAAGAGGGATTCCTTGCTAACCTAAAGACTTGGAGTGGAGTTAGGTAAAGCCAAAAATTTATAAAACTCCAGTATAGAGTTTATAGAATGTCCCAAACACTACGCTTATTCTTTGTTTTATTCAGAGATAAGTCTATATAAAAATTCAGTACAGTTTAACATCATCAAAAAATGGTGACATTTATTTTTCTTTAAATTACCTGTTTATACCATTTGTCCAATTTCTTCTGCTTGATTTTCATATTTTTCGTATAGATTTTAGGAGGACCTTGGAATTTTTTAGAAATGAACTTTTTTTATCTAAGCGTTTTACCAATTTGGCTTGATACGCTTTTGCTTTTGTTATTTAAAAAGCAATTACCTCAGCTGTACCAAAGTTTCTCAAAGGATTGACATCATCAAAATGTCAAAATCACACACTTAAAATAGTTGTTCCCCCACAAAGCTATCAAAGAACAACCAGAAATCAGCTGAGTTAATCTTACAGGCATTTTAGAAAATAGCCCGGTGGTCTATGGCGACTAAGTGAATGTGTAATAAAGAAAAAATCACCTGAAAAGCAATAGAATATATAAGGTATTTTCATGCATTCTGGCTTTCTACATTGGTGCAGCACGGTCTTGCTCTAGAAGAAGAAGCAGCCTAATTCTTAGTTTTCTCCTGAATTTGAGGTAACAGTACAGAAGGGGTTGCTTGCATGACCCAAGAAGTAAGTGGCCGCTAACAATGGAGAATCATAGGCTTGGGGTTTGTTCTTGGGTTACAGATTCAGAGTGTGTTCTGGTCTTTTTGGGGGATGAAAGATAAGATGCAAGAAGAGGCCCCTTTTTGGATTAAACACAGGACTACTGATCTCCATGGACAAAACTCACAAAGGCCTGAG